ATGGCTTGCCATTCTCCTCCTGAGTGGATGTGCAGCTGTGGCATCTTAAAGCAGAGTATGCTTGGGAAAGGGTGTCTGCTCTGTTCCATGCCTGTACAGAACTGTGGCTCAGGGGTATTTCACAGAGAGGGAATGGTACAGTTCCCATAATTAATGAGGGTGGGTTTCCTTTGCTATATTCACCTAGATTTGAGCTCTTGGCTCCGAAGCGTTGAGTCTATTTGCACATGGCACCTGCTCGGTACAGACTGTTCTCACATAAGAACTTGGCTTAACTTGGATGAAGTACAGTTGCAGTCTGGAACAATGTAGTCTCTCCCTCTTAAATGCAGCACCTTTATATTTGCTTCTGAGTTTTATTTCATTGATTTTCCTGTGCTGTTTCAGCAGCACTGTTTCTCCTGCTGTCCACAGAAACACTTGCAGCACTTCTCCAGTATTTCTGAGCTATATCTTATTCTGAGTTGGACTCTTTTTATACTACCACACCAAACATGAATGGGAACACTAAATAGCACTGTTTGAAAGCACATAAAAACAGTGTGGGTACTTACAAATCCACTGTACACTCACTCTATGCTCAACTCCATGCCTTACAAGGTATTGTTTCTAGGCTGCTTGATAATTTTTGATGGCATATCTCACGACCAAGTTCAGGTTCAGCAACACTCAGTTCCATAATCCCTCTTGGTTTTTCCAAATTAGTGGTCTTGCTTTCTCCCCCTGTACTCTTCATGGATAATCCATAAAAGAAAAAGGTGTACCTTTCCACTTCTATCCCAATGATTGCTTCTGAGCTGTTTTGCCTTAAACAAGTCATCCCTTACAAATGAATGAGAGCACTTCAAACCCAGCAGCCTCTAATGCTGCCACTGCAAAAGTCTCTTTGGTTTGTATCCCTTGTGAGGGAGCAGAGAAAAAAAAGAAATCCTGAACTGATCAGCAACAAACCAGCCTCTCCTACCCAGATGATCCCTGGCTTCTTTCCAGCCTAAAAGAGTAGTGAGAACAAAACCCTTGCTGAGCGCGCTGCCTCTGATCCTGCCCCGCTTCAGCAAGGGATGTGTTGACACCAAGTGCTGCACGAAGACAGACTAGAGCCAAACTAAAATGCTCTCAGCTTGGCTGGGTGTCAAAGCACTGCTTGGAGCTCAGCTCATCCAAGGGCAGGTAGTGTGGGGTGCCTGGCTGGGGGAACAATGCTGAGCTTTCACAGCCAGGCTCAGACCACAGAGACCAAGTCCCTGTCCCTTCTCCCAGAGGTAGGTTCCCCTCCTTGCTTCCAGTAATGTCCCACAGAGGCCCATGTTTTGAAGGCTGTGGTGGCCTTGGCAAACAACAGGGGATCTCAGGCACCTGCCTGGAAAAGGAAATGCATGGAGCATCAGGAAAGGAGCTCCCGCAAAATGAATTAGCCTTGTTAACTAGCACACATTCCTTACAGCACGTCACAAGGAAATCCAGCGTTTCTAAGCTTTATCCATCTTGCAATGGTTTCCACCCTTGCTGTTGTTTACAAGCTTAACAAACTGAAGACTGTTTGAAAGAGATCACTCCTTAATCTGGCTTGTCCTAAAACCAATAGGAGAGGAGGAAGGCAAGGTCAGGCATATCCAAGGCCAGCACAGAAACGTCCTTATTTATCTTCCCTAAGCTGTTTTAAATGTTAACTCCTTCAAGATATACTTTAACAGTCAAGCTTTAAATTTGGTGGTGACTGCAGGTGGTGGAGAAACCCGGACACTCTGTTAGCAACTAGTTTTGGTTGGGTTCAAACTTCACCCAGTTTGGTCCCTTTGTGCAAGTTCAAGCCATGGGACCAAATATGAAGCAAAGTCCCAGATGAGCATCTCCTGCCTTCTACATCCTACTCAGCTACAAGCTGTGGGTCAGCCTCAGAGCCCCACTTCTGTGGCACTGCCATGTGCCTGAAGAAAACTAAGAGTCTAATTTGCAAGAGTATAATTATGCATCCCCAACATGAAAAGCCATCCTCTAAATATCTGATTGGGGAACACAGAGCCAAGAAATGAGACAGACAGCTGAACATAAAGTTATTTTTTAGAAGCTGAGTTTAAGGTTGGCTAAAAATATGGCCTATCCCTTTCAAGGGTTATTTTGCTTACGGTGTTGACAAGAATAAAGCTATTAGTAACAGAGCATTCAGAGTATTTGGGGCTGGTGTTTGTCTGTCAGTCACTCATCCTCCAAAACACTCTTGTCAACATTTGGAAAGCAAGTGGGATGTATGCTCCAGCCCCCTCCTGGGAAGGCTGGAAGGCTGGGAGAGGATAACAAAACTGTAAGAGCTGCAAAAACCTGGGGCTAAAGAAAACAGGATGGGGGGAAGAAAGGAGGAAAAAAAAAAAATCTCTTCAGAAGGAAACATACTAGAAGCCCCAAAATGTCTAGAAAAATGGTTTTAAAGGAGAAAAAAAATCAAGTACAGGGAAAAAATAACAAAACCAATTGTTTACAAAAATCCATGAAAATTGAGAAAATAAAATAAGAGACAATGACTGGAGAGTCCACTGGGGAAAAGTGACCATAGAAAAATCAAGTTATCATCTTTTCCTTGTGTAATGCAAGAACTGTGTTCACACAGCATGAATTCCCAGGACATATAAAACATTTCCCTTAGAAAAAAGAGCTCTGTGCCTCAGGAACCCCAGAAGTATAAGACTAAGGGGTACCTTGAGCACCAGCCTTGCAGTCTGTTCTTGCAGCTTGCTCGGCTGCCGGGTAGAAGAGGTGATCACAGGGAAATTGGTTTCCTGCTTATGCTTCTCCTTATCTCCCACAGCCAGTGCATGAACATCTGCAGTCTGCACTACCCTAAACCAGCCTCTTGTCTCCCTCCTCTGCACCTCTGAAAGATCCTGTAACAAGAACATGGTGTCTCCTTTCCTCTCCTCAGCTCTTCAGGACTGAGCTCCTAGTGTCGACGACATTCCTTTTTCAAAGGAAGTCCTTTGCATTTCCCCTTGGTGCTCCCCGCGGAAGGTAAGAGTCCTGTGGTCTAACAGCATGTTAAACACGATTGTCATTTAAAGTACCTGCTTGGAAAGGGGAGCAGGAACCTGCTAAGGGTTGTTCCGTGTGCCCATTGTCCTGGGCAAATTGCCTGCTCGCTTTCTCATCACAGTCCCAGCCCCAGCCTCACCCCTACGTCTCCACCACCAAGTTAAAAATCTGCAGAGCCAAGAGATATTCAGTGCTTAGCACAGCAATTTCTCTCGTAATCCTGCAGTTAGACACCTTTTCCTAGGGATCCCGTTGCTGACACACAATCGGCTCCCTCTCTGCCTGGATCGGTGGCACACGGTGGAGGAGGAGGCTGAGTGAGCTCAGCCTCAGCCGCTGCCTGTGCCTGCGTAACACAAAAAGGTGCCTCTCCCCCCGTGGTGTAGAACCTGTCACCTGGGCTGTGTTGGGAGGAATGGGCTCAGCTAAGCATACCAGGCAGTAACTGTGGTCTGCAGAAACGGGACAATAATCTGTCAGCATACTAAAACCCTGAGGTGCCCAGCTTTGCCTTCAGATGATAGAAATTATTAACTGAGCAGTCCCGAGCCAGGGGGGGTTGGACACTAAGGTACCACTTATGACAATAAATGTGCACAGGCAAGGTGTACCTTTCCAGGCATAACCTGCGGGATGAGAAGTAACTGAGGCTCGATTTCCACCTCAGTCCATGAAGTTGGTCTAAACAGACTGAAAGCTGAGTCACTTAGAGCTATCTTCACAAGAAGCTCATCAATTTGAGTAAGCCATCAGCCCCAGGCTATAGCACGTGGCCATCCTTGCTTTCACCCTCCAAAGCAGAGCTGCTGAGATCCGTGGAGCTCTGTGGATTTACATCAGTAACAGCAGAGAAGGAATAATCTCAGTGCAATAAAATGGTTGTGGTCCTGCTCCTGTTGAAGTCCATCTCAAAGCTCTCAGGCATAGCCAGGGATAAAGTTGACCCGGCCAGCTCCATGAGCAAACACAGAGCTCAGGAGAAAACAAAATTATTGTAGAGGAAGAGAAGAAAGCCCTGAGATGGGGTTCCTCCCCTCTCACTGGTTCCCTCTGCTCTACAGCGAGTCTCACACCTGCTTATGGCTACACTGTCGAATAGCTTATCCCTAGGCCTGAGACCAGCCTGCAAAGGCTGCCACATTGCGGAGGGCACAGCTCCCTGTGCAGGTGGACTTGCTCTCCAGCATGTGCTGAGGGGAAATGGTGAAAGCAGCAGAGAGTCTGTGGAAAAGACATGAGCAGAGCCCAAATCTCCATGCTCTGCATTAGTTCACATGAGACCCATGGCAGCATTTAGAAGAAAATGGGGGAATTAAATGGTTTTGTGAGCAAAGACACATTTCCAGGGGTTTTCACCACATGGCTTTGTCATTAGCTTTCTAAAGAGGAGATTCTATGATGAAAAATGCAACCTATCCCACTGGTTCTCCAGAAAGAGGTAAGGCTGCAGTCACCAAGGGTGAAATCCTGTTTGCTTCACTTGTGGGCCTTAAACAAACAACATGGTGTAAATACTGCTCAGGGAGGGTTTACAACACGGAAATCCTTTGGAGACCTTTTATTGCAGGGGAAGGAAGGTAAATATGCCAATGATATGAACAAATTCTAAATATTTAGTGGTTTAAATAAATAAAGCTTTTACAGATTTTTGAGATCTATTATTCATGGCATGCTGGGGGTAGTCTAGACCATGTACCAAGGTATGAAACCATCTTAAGAGGGTAAAAAATTACATTTAGGCTCAGAAAGGTGAATCGGTTTGTGTACTGAGTGCCAGTCCAGGCCTGCATATCACTGGACAAATGAACTCCAATTATCTCAGTACAAAATGTGCTGCAATTCACTGGGCATTGTAGCAAAATGACAAGTAACAAGACCAGAATGTGATTATTTGCTTTTCTAAACATTTTGAACAAGAAGGGGGTCTCTGTCAGCAGTAACATTGCAAGGTGTACATGTTCCCAGGAAGGGGCTCAGCAAAAGGTGGAAATAAGCAGCTGTGCTAATTCATTCCCTGCATGTGAAATCGGTGTAGAAACGACCTGATTTTCAGCTTTATAAAAACACAGAACATTTGAAGTGCTTCGATGAAATGATTGTTTGAAACAGTTAGAGGACTAGAAAAAAGGCCATTGTAATCCTTTTGGGATGCAGCTTTCCCGTTTGCAGTATGCCAGCTCAGTGTCACTGTCAGAGCTTCAATACAGGCTTCCTGACTTGGTAAAAGCACCACGCTATTTCTCTAAGCCTTTAAAATGCCATTCAGAATCCAGTTTTCCCTGTGCCTGTGTCTGTAATCACGCTGCATGATCTCAGAGAAAACACAGCTAACCAAAGATGGGCCACTCTGACCTGAGCAACTGTCTCCATGTATTGCTGCCTTTGTCTTGGCATTTTCAGCAGGGTACAATTAATTAAAATTCCTGATTAATTAAAATATTTTGTAACAATATCAGCAAAAATTGCTTGGAGAAAAGCCTGTGCAAAGTGAAACTGGAGCCTGGTTGGTATGAATATGCATGGTGCCCAAAGTACACTGTACTGGCATGTGCAGCCTGTCCCTACAGTACATGACATAGTGAAGGAAGTGGAAAGTAGAAGCTTGACAGATGATGACACAGGGGTGTAAAAATTTGCATTACCCCCTGTATTTCCTTTAGAGCCTATATCTCACAGTGCAAGTGCATGGAAATACAGTGGCTTTCAGTACAGCTGGATGAATGCATGGCTCTGCCAAGGAATTAGGACTTGGCTAGTGCTCCTGCTCCTTGTTCTGACCATCACTGACTGAAAAAGCTTGTACAATTTGCTTTCCCCTTCTGGGCCTTGTTTTCCCCTCTGTAAAATGCAAACAACACCACTTCTCTATCTTGTGTGAAGTGCTATGAGAAGGAGAGAGAAAGAAATACAGTACAGAAAGAGAAATACGTGTTAGCAAGTGACTCTCTTTCCTTTTGCCTTTGTCAGATCCGTACTATACCGGGAGCCAGCTCCGGTCGCTCGGAGCTGTGAGGAAATCCTTGTTGTGCTCTGAAAGCCCTGCAGCGGACTGTCATTGTCAGAGTGCTGATGAATGGTTCCACTGGGGATCCAGAGCCTGCTCGGGAGGGAAAGCAGCGAGCCTCAATAAACAGCTCCCGCTATTGCCCAATCCGGATAATTAACACTTCTGCAGTTTCAGATGGAAAATGCCTCGTTGTTGCACAGAACGCAGGGGGCCCTTGGCCCCGTTCTGTCAGCGGAGCGATCCCGGCCCTGGCTCTGCCTCACAGAGGGAATGCTCTCTTTGAAATAACAGCAAAGGGGATGAAGTTTCTCCCCTTCCCCTCCTTTCATTTTTAAAACAGGGTTTATTTGGCAAGCATGACTCCCACTTTAGCAATTTAAGGGCTACATGGAAGAAGTCATACTCTGAAAGAGCAATTTCAAAAAACATCCCCTGCAAATGGTGCATGTTTATACAGCAGCTCTGTTCCTGGAGGGGGTGAAGACTCTGGGCCACTGATTTTTAGGGTCAAAAATTAATTCTGCACCTTCCACACCAAGAGGGTGAAGTGTCAGAAAGAGAGATCTCTTGCCTTGAGCAGGATAACCAGAGCCCTTCTTCCCAGGACACATAGCAGTGCCAGGCAAAATACTTTCAGAGCAGGATGACACATAACAACCAGACCACCATGGTCACTGGCTATGGTATGTACACAAGTCAGAAAAAAAATCTTGATTATGAGATGTTTTTCAGATTTTCAGGTGTTTAAAGAGATGACTCATATGAAATTGCTGCTCTAAAGCATATAAGAATTTAATTTCTCAAATCTCTTATATTAAAGTATGATGAACACACATAATTCTTTCTTTTTAAGGTTTTCGGGTCCACTGTCAACTTCTATGCTGCTACGGAGGATGAGATTTAAAAAAAAACCCAAGCTCTAGAATTGATGTTTCACAAATTCATTTGCCTCCAGGGGTTTTTAAGGAAAATTCAGGAGGTATCATAAGGCTTGCAAGAAGGAGTGGGAACCTTGCTGTGACTTTTGAGCATAGTCAACTGAAATTATGAGAGCAGAGCTACAGAAGCTTTGCATTAGCATTTTTTTAAAGAAACAAATCACTGAGTTAAAATTGATAATTATCCACAATTATTTATTGCACTAGAAGTCCAGTTATGTTCACTAACAGCTCCAAAATGTTGGCTGTCAAACTGAAATGAATAATCCTTTATTTTTTAAAGATGACCAACCCTATTTATTCTTCATTTAAAATAATATTTACTTAGAGTATGCTTTAAAGAGGGACTGGGATGTTTTTGTTACTCAAAATCCAGCAGGATCTCAGGCCAGCACAGTGTCACAGCACTATGCAGCGTGGAAACTCAGTGAATCAGAACCATTTCCACCAAGACTCAAAGGTAGCAACGAACATAAGTGTGAACATAAGTGGCCATGACAAACAGTCCTTCCAACTCAGAGAAGCACCAACCTGTTCTATCAAATGCTACAGGGATCACTGGCTTTTTACTACTGCTTTGTTTAAAATAGAGTGGTGTGACAGGCATCTTACTCCCTCCTCCATAGACTCACCTTTGCAATCAGCTCTGCTTTTCTGTGGGGCAAAAGGGCCACTGGTGGAGAGTTACACAACCCCTCTCCCAGAGGCACTGAGTGGGAAGACATAAGCATGTACCTTGAGCCTGTTGAGAGGTGACATATTTTGGAGTAGTGATTAGGATGTGGAAGAAGGAGGGGATGAGAGACCCTCTGGGTTTGAACTCTGGCTTGGCCAACACGCTGCCAGATGCACAAGCCAGTCCCTCAACTTTTTCCTACCCCAGTTTTTCCACTTGTAAAAGGAAGCAATGGCACTTGCTTCATCAGGGACATGCTTTGAGATTCACTAAGAAAAATGCTCTGGATGGGTTATTCTCATTTATCCATAGAATATTGCCAGTCCTGTTGGCTTAAATGAGCTCATACATGTGAGTAAAAAGTATGCATAGACAAAATGCTTAGCATAGAAAGGAAATATTTCTATAATATTAAGCATAAAATAATATTAAATATTAATTTCTATAATATTTATATAACATTAGGCCACATTTAGGGCTAACAGCTGGTTGCAGAACAGAGAAACTGATTAGCACAAGCAAATATTAATTAAAATTACAGTCTGTATTCACACACAGGTTTTCTTTCCCATTCTCTTCCTCTGCTTTTTGATTAGAAAATAATCATCACATTACACAGTATTTTCCTCATTAAACTACAAAGATCCCTTGCTTCTTTGGCCAATTAGAGCCCGTGTACAATCATCAGGAATACAAATCAAAGCATGTTCCAGCTCTGACCTAATAAGTCATCTACGCAAAACATAAGCTCTGCGTTTTCCTGTCACTACAGCAATTCTTTTTCCTTTACCCCAAAGCAATCATCACTGAACAGAACCCTTCCTTTCTTAGGAAACTACAAACCCAAATTGCATGGGCTGGGGGCTGCCAGTCACCTCCAGCTTTGCTGGTGGCTTTGTTTTAATCAACAAACCTCAAGAATCCTTCTGCACTCTGCTTGGGCACAGGGCTGGCAGGGTGGGTGGCTCCCAGGACACAGGGAAAAAGAGGAAGCTCTGGGAGACTAGAAGAAATTTGCATTTTCCTCAGGGCACATCCTGCAAACAGGGCCCTTTGTTCCTGGTGGCTGGTACCCACTTCTCACCACAAACAGATCCCTTCCTGGCCTCTCCTTTTTTTCTCCTCTCAGAAAAAGGCCGTTTTCAGAGTTTGTACTTTTACATCCACCCCCGCCCCAAATCTGTGTAAGTTATTCTCACTTAAACCAATTTTGCCTTGCCACTGAGTACCAAAGTGTTGTGAGTTACACTGTGCTGTGCTACTCACGCCTACCCGACAGCCATTTTCTGACCAATTTCCTTCTGACATGCATCTTCACCTTCACTTATGAATTTGGCCTCAATTGGAGAATAATATACTGAAACTCTGCTAAAAGCAGTACATAATTGATCCCTGCCAGAAGAGGGATATGAGCTTTTCTGTTGTTTTTCAGGGAGACGGAGGGGGAGGCGCTAAGAAGGGGGCTGTGTGCCTGGAGATTCAGCTCCTGGTTTCTACTTCCCCAGCTATCTTACAGAAGGCAATTAGCAGTGTCTGTTCATCAGTGTGATTCTATTTATTGAAACTTGTTAATAAGCCCAGAATTAGTTTTCCTTGTAAAAAAAGAAAGCTTCAGTGAAGAATGATTTCAGAGTGGCTTTAGTATGTCTACTTGCCTAAGAATAATTAGGTTTAATGTCTGTCCAGTGGTTTAGGAAACCTGGGTGATAGCCCTGCTGAAGCATTCTCAGTCTGCTCTTTCTCCATGCACCACCTGCTGCATGGTCACCCATGTACTCCTGCATGATTCTGCTGCTTCTGCTTCAGTAATGTTTCAGTTTCTTGGCCAATTTTAGCAAATCTGGTGGAGCCTCAAAGGAACTGAGCTGCTAGACTAATTATACAAGGTGTGGTGGAGGAGAAAAACCGTCCCTGTTCCATCTCCTGGGGACAGGCATCCCTGAGGAACCAAACTGGTGCTCACTTTTGAGGCAGAACTCACTGAAGAAGAAACTCACCATTTCCAATGCTCAAGGCATGATTTGACTGATTGAGAGGTTTCAAAAGAGCAGGGAGAATCAGTGAGAGCACACCTCTCTGCATCAGGCATCACCTCTGATGTAGACTTCCTAGCATGATAGGATCTTGCTCAGGTTACAGCTCTGGCAAATCAATGTAATAGAGCTGATTGATCCCTTACTAACTTCTACTGGGTGGTTCTTCATGGACGAGAGCCTTCCTCCGTCACTGTGAACTTCCCTAATCTAATTACTACTAATCAGAAGTGTGAAGAAAAGGATTTTCTCTGGTTCTCAGGTGTGCAGCAGGTGGGGCAGCCAACTTGTGGAGTATGGATATGTGTTTGTTTAAGTGGGCAGAGAAAGTGATGGACACTGCAAATCCTGCAGTATGTCAAAGCAGCTGGAAGCCCCATGAAATGTTAGGATTGGGTCTGGAAGCTGTGTAACCCTTTGAATTTTCTAGAAAAGTCTATGGAAAATTTTGTGATGGCAAAGGGGTGGAATTGGCCTATTTCTGCTGTGATTCACCTCACTGTAGAATGTGTGGCACCTGCAACTACAGACTGACCCAATATGTTTATTTACTGAAACCATCAAACCATCTCTTGCCACGTGCTCCAATCTTCCAGCCCAAATTAGCGGTGGCTCCACTGCTCCAAGTGGAACAAATGTCAGTGTTGTGTTTCACTTGGTCTCCTGCTGCTGCTTTATTTTGTTTTGGGTCCTGCTGCCTGTCAGGGAAGAAGCACAATCCTGATTTTGTGAGGTTCAAGTGAGCAATTTCACTTTGAAGCTGAACAGGCCATTGACAAAGGGTTAATGACCATTTTTATCAGTAGCCTGGAAAACCTAATTTTATCCCAATAACAAATCCTAAAGAGCTTTTTCTGGCCAGCGTAAGCCAGCACGTATCAATTGCTGCCCTTCAGCTGGCTTGGCAGTGCAGGCACTGAGGGTGTGATGTCCCCTGTGTGACCAGTGCTGGCACACCACAGCACCCTCTAAGCAAATCCACCATTCCCAGGCATTGCAAAGGCAAATTATTCCACTGCTAGAAACCTTTAGCCTCTAAAAAGCAAGCCCATCAAAAGCATGTACTGCCTGCTTTATATTAATGGGATGCATTCCAGGCATATTTGCTCTGCTGATCAATATGTTAAAAAATACATCCCTGTCTAGGTGTGCAGAAACACATCATCAGCAAAACAAGCGTGCGATGGAACAAGTCTGTCTGATGCAGAGGAAATTTTGTTAGCCCAACACAATCTCAGAATAGTTAAACACAGCAAAACAACTTGTATTTGTGCTCAAATCCTAATGATGTTTATTTACTAGGACAAATATAGCTGAGGGTAGCAACTTATCAACGCTTGCTTTATTTCAAGAGCAAATTGCTACCATGGAACCAGACACTTGATGTTTCCCTGCTATCGCCCAACAAAGAAAGCTCGCTTTACTGACTCGGCTAATGACCAGCAAAGTCGCCTCACGTGGATTATAAAAGTAAAAAGGACAAAAGCTTCGGGATGAAAAATAACAATTTCCCTTGCTTGCTTTTGTGATGAAACAGTAGGAAATTCGCAGCAGAAAACTCTGCTTTGAAATAGAAAAATAATAGTAACAGTGAAAATAAATGACAAGGTCTTGGTTCTATTGAGCTTTAGTGAGCCTGAAAACCCACAAGTTTTGCTGCTGGAGAGTGTATGAGGATTCATTCAAAAGTCAATAATCAGCAGAAAGGGATTAGTGCCTTCCAATAACTGTTCTAACTACAAAGACAGTAAAAGGCTCAAGCAACAGCCATTATCTTATCCCTTTATACAGGCTCATGGCCCTGAGCTTCACATGTACCATGTTTACTATTACAGCAACAAAGCAAATTTGATCAGAGCAAAACCAACAAATAATCAAACATCACCATTGGATAAAATCTGCCTTGGTACTTCATGAATTTGCTGAGCTACTGCACTCCAACCTGGGCTTCCTAGACTGTGGAATATGTTCTTGAACAGCCTGATTGCATTTGCAGGTGTGCAGCAGACTCCTGCATGCAGGACTGTGCACTTCTACCCTTTGGGACAGACTTCCCTTCCTGTTCCTGGACTGACCAAAGTCCAGAACCCCCACACGTCAGCTAGGTGGGAGCAGACCAGGCCATTACCAATTTGTTCTGTGCAGGCATTGAAAAATCAGCCGATAAGAGCTGTTTCTCCACATTTTGCAGCACCCACAAACAGATTTACTTCAAAGATTCATAATGTAAGAAATCAACTGGAAATGGAAAGTTCAATATCAGATTAAATTGGTTTGGCTATCTCTGACACAAAATATTTATCTACTAGGTTCCCAAAGACATCAAGCTCTGAATCAGTTATCTTAACACAAATCTACAGTTGTAAGTTCTCTCATTTTGGGTTTGAAGTCACACTTCCATCTTGGGCAGCAAGTGGCATTTTGCTGCTGTTCCTTATGGCAACTGCCCCTTCAGCTTTACTGTTGATGTGTTTCTAGGATAAAAAAAGATAATTAAAAGTCATCTCATGCTTATGCATTCTTCTCCTCATGCTAAAATTTATTCCTAGCTGAAGACCTCAGAATACTTAGTGAACTGGTTGGTGACTCCTGGCCCTCTGACTCTACCTTAGCAGCCACCCTAACAAGATAGCAACCTGAATTTAGTCTTGCGCACATGCCAGACCCTATGCTGAAGTGTGGTGCAGGCTTGCAGGGCACATTGGTCCTGAGGGCTGATCTGCAGACCAGCTGCACCTAGAGCCTTGCAGCAAGGATATGAGGCAGCATGGAGAATGGCAGTGGTTGCACGTAGAGGGCTACTGCTCTTGGAACCAGCTGTCTGTTTATCTGTCAAGAAAGAAAGTTCTTCCCTTATGGCCTTGTGTCTTGGAGGAACTGCCCTACAAGCCACTGGTCCAGAGCAGAGTCTGATACTTATGTCTCTTCATTCACTTCTTGATTTATATTTCCAAGACTTTTCTGGGAAGATCAAGCCCCTGAAGAACACTCCTTGTGGCCCAGGTTGGGATGATTGCATGATGAATGTGTCATGCAAAGCTAGGTTAATTCTTCCGTGACACCTCTGAGAAAAACCCTCCTGGTTCCCATACCTACACTGCTGCTGGTCCAGTGTTTAATGCCAAAACCAAATGCCTAGTTTTCTTGACTCTTAAGTGAATTCAGTGGAGACTGGTCACTGCCCCAAAGGGTTCCAGAAGTTTGTCTTTTATTCATATGGCATCTCTCAGATGGAGATCACACCCTATGTGTGCAGTGTCTAACTGTAGGAAGACGTGAGGACACTACACCAGCTGGCTTCCACCTGAATGCAAACATGTCACAGGGGTTGTCACAAGGACTTGTGATGCAGAGGTCAAACTGCTTTGCTGTCAACCATCAAGCAGCAGCCCTTTTTGTAAGGGTGTAGTGCAGTCTTGAAAACCAGCAAGCAATGCCTATCAATGCAGTAGGGTCATTCATGGTCTGCAAACTGACTGGAGGAACCTCTTGAACTAAGGCAACCCATGGCAGGACAGATGGTCTCTAGATAAGAAGATATGAATCTCAGGGAAGGGGCCTTGTGGAGATCTGTAAGCTTGAAAAATTTGAGTCTGTCCCTATCCCTGTTTTTTTGTGTTAGAAAAGGCAGAGAGGTTGGGAAAGACAGCGGGAGTCTAGATCCACCTTAAACACCACCAAAGAGATGAAGACTAAAACAAAAGATAAGCCCAACAAAGGCGCTTGCTGAAAACCAACTATATCAACAAACCCCAGCTCCTACAGCTTGGTGACTATGCTGTCCAGTGACTCCTGTTCATAAAGGGCTGATTCTCCTCCCTTTCAGAAAACAATGTGTTCTACACACTGAAATAAATAACAGCCCCTCACCAAGGCCCCGGCAGTATCAGGGGGTGTCAGGCTCTGCTCAGCAGATAACAAAGGCGTCAGCATGGAGCCAATCTCCTCCTGCCATCTCAGGCTGCCCTTGCTTCACTGAATGAAATTTTTCTCCTAATGGAAATGAAGAAAACCTCCAGTGCAGATAATCCTCTGTTATAATGGCTGTAGATTTGGGAAAGGGGCCAAGCAATGTAAAGAACAAGCCAAATCTCTTTTACTTAAAGCCTGGCCTGAATGTGATAATGTAATGACTTTGATTGGGATGTTTCAAATGCCATTCATTGAGATTGACTTAGCACATAGATGGTATGAGCCAAAACAATTAAGAACGAGGAATTGAACAGATAGGATCAGCTGACTCCTCCTTCCCAACAAAGCTGGTACCCTTTTCCAAGTAGTGGAGAGGACTACTTGGTTTAAACGCTGCTTAGTCCAACCCAGCTAGCACCCTTTCACTTCCATTGCCCTTTGCTTTCTGTAGAAGGATCGGTAACTATCATCTTAAAGACAGGCTGAAGTCCCAGGAACCCTCTTTGCAAAGGCAGAGCTCCTGGATATTTTGTGCCTAACCTCCATCTGGCCACTGCTGGTCACACTTTGCTCTCAGAACTGATCAGAATCCCACTGAAGTCCTTGGGAAGATTCATGTTCATTTCGGTGGATTCTAGATCCATGAGTTTCTTTTAGCAATATAGGTTTCCAAAAGCGTGGTAGCCTTGGCTGTTGTTTAGCTTCCTAGTATCTGTCATAGCTAACTATTATTTCTCAAACTCTGATACTACATGCAAGCTTAAAATGGCTTTCAATTACTATTAGCAGGCTTTTAAATAGGATTGTGGTGACAACCCGAAAGAAGCAAATACTTAGGGGAGAAATTAAGCTATTGGAATGACTGGTTATATTGAACATACTCCTCACACAGCTGGCAAAGAGCAAAATAAAGCTGAAATAAATTGATGACGACCACATTCTGAAGGAATGGCAGTTTATGTTAAAAGAGAAAAGAACATTCAGCTTCTCTGCTGAAACAGCTTATGACACTGAGCATTTGGACACTTCTCCCACAAACCAGGAAACCAGTAGCAACCAGAACAACCACAATTGAGCACTTTCTATATCCCACACCAGCATAACTGAGCACAGAAAGTAAAATGAGTGCAAAATGCCACAATTCTGGATTTAATATGTTCAATTAACATCATTCTGATGGTTACAAAAGATGGAAGGCAACAGGGGATTACATTTATTGTCTATTTCAAGTCTTCCACTAGGCAAATAAACTAAGACCTTAAAAAAAATCTAAAAAATTCCAAAAACCAAACCAAATAACAAACAAAAAACCCAAACAAAAACCCTCATACATTGGACAAGCTTTGGAGTGGTTACAAGGCCAAGATCTATTGTGATGGCTGAATTTGTTACAAGCCCTGGGCATATCATAAAGGAATATCTGTATTTGAAGGTTTTCATCTTTCTGGTCATCTAATTCAGCTCCTTTCAGGGAGGTAATTTATTTTCTTCACTGTCGCCTTCAGTCACTAGGTTTAGAGATGAAATCAAGATGCATCAGCAGCCTTGAGCAGGGTGTCAATGCTACTTTGAATTTTCCTTCTCTTCTGTTTAATTGAATTTTCATTTGTATCTCTTCAGTTGTTTCCCCTGCAAGGCCTTTCCCCCCCCTTTCCCCCCTTTTCTCCACTCATCCATATAGATCCTACAAGCATTTCTGGCAAGCACCAGCTGCAGATATGAGTTCTTGGGCATCTTCTACTTTTAGAATGGCACCAAGATGCCCAAATGACACCAGTGCTTGTTCTGTGAAGCTGAAGTCTATTTTTCATAAAGACCAGTCTCTTTATTAAATCCACTGCCCTCTCAAAGACATATGATAAGACATGGAGGCTGCAGAGCGATGCAGGTGTCACTGCAGTGGACAAAAAGCTGTGTCTGGGTTTACAGCCTCTGTTTTGCTGGGTCAGCATAGCTAAACAGGACTTTGCAGTAGCATTAAAAAGTTATTTCAAGATTTTTCCTCTAGATTCCCCAAAAATTGCCCTCAGCTCTTGGCAGGCCAGCATTCCAAACACAGTCTAGCCACAACCTCTCCATTTCTGATTTGTTTGCCATCAGCATAATCTTTCTTTCAGCTTTGAGCCTGCTTTAGTAGACAAATTCACTAGGAGGGATCTGAGATGTAACCTGTGAAATCTCCCACTTGAACTGGTATCGCTTCCTCCAACCACTTCCTTTCATTGAGGAGACTAAACAGTTCCTGTCTGTGGTTGAGGATGGTCTCTCTCACACTGGAAATCTTCAGTACAGTAAAACATACCAACTTCTCCATCCAAACTCGGGTACAAAGGCTAGAAAAGATACAGTTCCTCACAGAGATTCACCAGTCATACTTACTACTCCAGCTGAAAGTGATAAAAGCTCTTCTGTGCAGAGAAGTGATTAAAAGAAGCAAAAGAAAATTTCAGACAAAATTATCAGTCCATTGGAGAAAGTTCTTTAATGCAAAAACTATCTGCAGTTGAGTGATACACAATTCATATAACAATTTAAATACTCATGTTTTTAAGTCGTTTACGAGTAAACCATGCAGAACACTGAGGAATATATAATCCAACAGAAATCTGCATTAGGACAGAGATGGACAAAATGACCTTTCCATGATCTACTCCATCACTCACTAGTATAATTTCTGCTTGTAATTCATTATTCTGAAGTTGTTTACTGTTTTGTCTATGACAAGGACAACTTCCATCAATGAGTTCTTGAATGTGGAATTCCTGGCTCATTATCAGAGGAAACCGAGATTCTCATTTGAATATTCACCTTTCTTGCTCTCACGGTACTTGATCCATCACTGAAAAGTTGACATTGTCTTTGGCACTGATGCTCTGTCAATCTGACATAACCTGAGAGATATTCAGGGTATGTTTTGCTACTTAGTGCAAAACTACAGCACTTCGGTCATTAATAATTAAGTGTGAGTTTGCAACTGGATATAAGATCTGCTTCTGTACCTCTGTACGCTTGCATTTATTTTTACACTCGTCACACTGCTGGTGGATATTTACTGCAGGGGCTTTGGGCAAATGGTTCAGTGTCTCTCCACTTACAGTGAGGAGCACTACTCACAGTAATATGTATTAAGGAGGTCTTCTAGGAGAGAATAAATCAGAAATTAAAGAAAGCTTGCTTGTAACTGAACTTGAAACAGTTTCTCTCCTTTTCCCCTGTGTTTTGATGTTGGTTATGGAAGGATGTATTTTAAAAAGGAAAAGCACATTCTATCATTATATCTTTTAGCTTGTAGAGTTTTGAGTCCTGCTTCTTCAGCCTCATTTAGGAAGTTAGTCTTTGAGTCTTACCATGAAAAGAGAGCTTGCTAGAATGTTTCTTGTTGACAATCTCTTATGGTCACATCCTACAATGTGAATGGGGGGGTTGCCATTTTTGCTGCCAGCTTTTGCCCTTCTTAATAGCTCTGACAGCTCTGATCCTCTTACTCTTGGCACTTGCTTTGAGCAAGGTTCACATAAAGATGTTAGTGTCCAGTCCAGGCATTGTTGTATCAAGCTGCTGTCAGTCTTCTGGATGACTGCTTAGCAAACAACCTTGTTTTGTTATCCAGAGCCTGAATGTGATCATGATTGCTTGTTTGACTCTTTCTTCAAAAGATTAAGCTCTGTCCCTCTCAGCCTCTTTTTCACTATCTGCACTAAGTTCTTGTCTTGCCTGGTGGTGTTAAACATCTGCCAGGCTGGCCATTTCTCTCCTGCATGTTTGTAAGTGATATAGCAAGTAAACAAAGCAAGCATTTAGGGCCTTATTTTCTATGTCCTTAGGGGATAATGCAGGAACACGGTTGAAGCCAGCATGTTACTACTGCAAAAGGCAATGGGAGCAGTGAATTGTTCAAATTCAGAAGCAAGTGGGGCTTCAAAGAATGCTAAACAGCCTGGTGTACTTTCTTAGTTTTTCCTAAGTTCCTTAACATATAGCATCTTCTATTGGGGAAAAAGGTGTTTAAGTGAAAAGCCTTCTCATAAGGAAAAGAGGAAACACAAAACTTACAGAGGGAAGGGATAGGGCAGCTTCTTTCTGGAGCTTTTGAGAAGCTATGAATGTCACAAATATCTTTCACAAGGAAGACTTTCTAGCCTGGTTTATTTACAGTAAGAGCACAAAGGGTGTCCTAATGAAGCTGTGAATTGGTGAGCCCTTGTGAGGCCGGAAGAGCACTGGGGTAGCTCGCTGTCTAAATGGGAGATGGGTGAAGATGCAATTCTGTATCTCCTTTTAAAAGGCAGCAGTGATCTATGAAAACCACCCTGAATACCACGGTTAGGGTAAACACATCAATGACAGGCTTTTAATGAAGGCTTCAAAATTTGCTCCCAGTAACATACAATTTGAAACTGTTGTCCAGCACTCCTGTAATCAGGATTCTGTAACATTTTGGCACCTCAAGAGGGAAAGTTACCTTATAAATTACAAAGACTGTGTCTAAGGCTGAGGGAAAATAGAAGAGAGAAATCTCCAAAGCCCAGGACGACTAAAGCTTGTTACAAAACCAGAGCGATCATTCTAGTGTGAAGCGAACTTGAGCTTTGCATTAAAAATGTAAATGTGATTGAAATAGCATAACCAGATTAAATGGATTTGACCTCTAGAAGCATGAAAGATGGTCTAAATACAGTGAAACAGCAACAAATGGCTGCACTTGCCTTTTCATTGTGTTATGCATCACAGGAAATTTAAACAACACAGAAATTTCAAGCCAGTAAGAGATTTGCATTTCTTTTACAAGAACTCATAGAGCAAATAAGGCTGGTTTGGGAAAAAAAAACCACCCATCATTTAAATGCCTAAAGGTACAGAAGAACTTAGAAACTGCTTTTCAATCTTGAATGTGACCGATTTACCCTCAAAAATTAAGCCCTGGCACACAGAACTAGTCAGGAGTGACTGAATCCTTTAATACAAGCCCACATCTCAACCTTCAGTACATGGCTGCCTTAAGGGACCATTTGACAGACATTTCTTTCTGGGTTTTTGGGATATTTTTTTGAGTTACGTTAACTCATATCAGTACCACAGTCTGGTTCACTGCACTGCCATATATCACCATACAAGTGCTACAATATCACCACAGCTGGCAGGGACAGACATCGCCAACAAAACAAGATGTTAGTCAAACCCTAGCTTAGGATTTCAGAAGGCTGCAAGTAAAATGCAGTATGGAATAAATCTAAGAAGACAACACGCAGAAGCAAAGAAACAAACCAAAGTGGTGTGAAGGGCATTTAGGAATGATAACCAAACAGTCCCAGCGAAGCCTGGCTTTTTATGCACTTGCAGGGTAAATTCTGCTAAGTGCAACACTGTTCTTCTGGTTTCCACTTGGAGGTAAATCTTTAGTCAACATTGCCATTAGGAACACTGAGTAAGAAGAATAATTTGGATTTTCTCATCATAAAATCATTGAATAACTTGGGGTAGAGGTCCCTGTCTAGAGCAGAGCTACCATCTCATGTAGGCCAGGTTGCACACGTCCTTGTCCTGTTGAGTTTTGAAAATCTTCAGGGATGATGACTCTCCCTTTCCTGGGTCCAGTTCCACTTTTGCATCAACCTCCCCATGAAACATTATTTCCTTATACATATTTCCATGAAATGCTTCTATGTTGCCTCTAAACTTTCACTGTGTATCTCTAAGAAGAGTCTGGCTTCACCTTATCTCCCGCCCTCTTTGGGCGGTGGAAAGGAGCAGCAGGGTCTTCCTCAGCTTTCTCTTCTTCAACTCCCTCAGCCTCCCTTTACTCGACCTGTGCACCAGCCCAAACACGTTGGAGGGCCCAGTTTATCAGTGATTCACCCCTTGATTTAGGAGATCCAAAACTAAACGTGACATTTCAAATGCTGCTTTGTGAGCACCAAGTAGAGGGGGGAAAGGAGGATTTAGTTCCAGATGATTTTACACAACCTAATTTCTTGAAGTTATTAAATACATATGAAATGCTACAATTAAACCTGCTCTTCCTAAAACCAGTGTTTTTTTCCTTCTCCTTATACAAGTAATATGGCAAAGAACTGTAATTGAAATAAATTTGAAAGCTGGTACCTGAGAGCTCCTGTGGCAAAAGAGAAATGCATGTGCCAGGAAAAAGCCCACAACACAAGAATAATTTTTCCCCTGATCTTTTGTTTTCCAAAAGGAGTAAGAAACAGAATGATATTTGGACAATGGTTAGATACACAGAGTGGGATTAAAAGTGGGTGGCAATCAGCACAAGCAGAAATGATGTGGTCTTCAGCAAGGCTCAGGTGTTAACCCAATTCTGTTCAACCCCGTTGATGTTGATGTGCACAGTATTGGAAAACTCACTTGTTCTGGGGTTTGGGGTCTGAGCATGAATGAAACGTGAGCTACCTCCTAAACTTAATCACATGCAGATTAGGTGCAGCTCTAATTTGGAAGCCCTGTAAATCCTGTGGCCTCAGTGCAGCAGTGCTGAGCTGTACAGTCCTCACACAGCTGCGGGGCTGCTGGAAACCCACAGCGGAGAGTTAAGCACAGAGTGAGTCTTCAGGAGGATCTGCTGAGTGAGGAGGATTCTCCTGGAGAACAGACTGAGCAGGATGTGTCTGAGAGCTTCAGACAGGCTCTGTGCTGCACCAGTGTGCACCTAAGTTAGTGAGGGAGCCACTAAAAATGTGATGATCCTGGTTATTTTAAAAATCTCAGTATATTTATCCAGTGACTTCAGAATTTAAATACACCACTTCAGCTGGGTTTGTATCATTGTTCTAGACACTTTGTAAGAACTTTTTTTCCAATTTTTTACTGGAAACTCCAAAAACCTATTTTAAAGACCATGAAGTAGTAGTAAATAAAATCAGAATTTAAATTTAATCCTGTATACTGTGTACCTATTTATGCCAGAAGGCCTCACCTATTTGTTTGATCACAGATGGGGAAATTAGTACTATTTGATCTCACTGATCAGAACTAAAAATACCCGTGTAATAATTTTCATGCTCTGTCATGTAGGAAAAAGATCTATAATTTGTTCAGCTAAATATGAATTTAAAATAAAGAGATTTATTGAAAGTATCAGTAAACATAAGTAGTACATAAATAAAAACTTACATAGAAAAATAAAGGCTGGATTCTGAATTATTTACTGAACCATATTAAAATTACTAATCACTGTCTTTTTACCATTTATGAGCTCTCTTAGTGTTTCTTTCCTCTTCACATTTGTTGTTGTTGAATGCTTTTAATAATTAGCTGTGCTGAAAGACACTGAACAGACAACACAATCACCACAGAAGATACCAAGATTTTGATTTGCTATCAGAACCTGGATTCCCCAGTGCCAACACTGGCTTTCTTCTGTCCTGCACATCCCAGCTCACTGCAGAGATAAGATCTGCCTGGTCCCAGCAACACGCTTCCAAGGGAATTCTTATTGAGCACAAGGCTTTTGCCAGGATGGAGGTATTGGGGGCCCTTCCTCTTTTCTAATGTGACCGTGATGCCATCAGTCAGTGCTGGAGAAACGCCAACCCTGGAGCTGGGATTTGGCACCACACTCTCCTGTTCAGTGTTTCACAAGGGCTCAGGGCACGCAGAGAGATAACAGACCATGACCATCAGCTCATGTATCTACCATTCAAACATCTTAAATGCACACACTGAGCAGCATCAGGTTTCCAGTTGAAGAACTGGCTGGACAGAAACCAACAGCAACAAGTTGATAGAGCACCGTGGCTTTTTTCCTGAGCTGTAAAAGCAGGAGGATATAAATTTATCATCCGCTAAATTGAGGAAAACAAGGGCATGCTTCTAGGAGCTTTCTGCTTTATTAAGTAAACATCTCCTCATTCATGTGGAAAATTTTTTCCAATTTGGCTAAATAATTAATTACTAAAGAGTGACTGCTGATTAATGAACACTATGATGACTTTCTAAGGTGTATGTTCATCCTGACAATTTTCTTTAATCCCAGTGATTTGTGCTGGTGTTCCTGACAAAATGTGATGATAAAGGCTCTGCAGTGTCTGTGGTGATACAGATATTCCAATGATACAAATCTGCCCATTTTAGAACTTACAAGATTTGAGACGGGGTCCCCACCTAACCTTGGGAAGGAGCATCTATCACCTGGGCATCAGTGCACCAGCTTGGCAATGACTGATTGATTTCTCATTCTCCCAAGGGCACTGTAGTGAGAGCTCTCCTTGGCCAGTGGAGAGAGCTGGTTTATTTTCAACAAGCTAAACCACTCTATAACCACCCCTGCTGTAACACCCTTTCACATTGCTTATGGATGTAAAGAGGCTGTGAGTAAATAAAAACAGATTCCCAAAATGCACTGAATCAAATACTCAGTTCTGCACTACTTAAGAAGCCAAGCTGATTGTGTTACATTTAAAACTCATTATGAGGATGGTATTTCTCTCCTCTGGATGAAGCTGAGCAGAAACCTTCATGCTGTGGAGGAGCACGTGCCCTGCCATGCCAACCATTTAGAAGCACAGGAGAGGATGACAAATTAACATAGCCTTAGCTATTGCAGTCTGAAATTAGGGCATGCAGATCCACATTGTGGTGCCCTGGAAGTAATTTTAAGATCTCAACATGGATTTTGGAGAGACCCAGAGCTGGTCTGCACCAGTTCCACACAAAATTCCTCCAGAAATGTATGCATGGGACTATTTCATTGCAAGACATCAAAATGAGATATTCTCCCTCTGCTTTAAAGGCGGGATCTGGATTATAGCAAGGTCCAGCTGTAATAAATAAGGAGAAGTGTACTGGCAGTGGGGAAACATCTCCATATCACTCTTAGATAGCACACACAACAGCTCTAGAAATCCACCTACAAAACTTCTCATTTGGTACCTATATAATTCTGCTTAATGTCCATTTTTTGCACTTAGCCTTTCCTATACACTTTTACTTAATGACTTAAAACTGGAGCTACTAACTCCAATCAGCTCTAAGAGAGTGAGAATAAACCACCCAATTCTGCTAGGAGGTAGTACACATTTTTATCGTTTAAGTGATATTTTCCTCAATAGAGGCCATTTTCATCTTATTCCCTTCTGTAATGATTTCCAGCTGATGCAGAAATACTCCAAGTCTTCTACCAGACTGTTATGGTGTGTACAAGTTGCTGTTGATTATGCTCTTGTAGACAAGAGAATTTAATACAAGTCTGAAGTTGCTGGAATCTCAAAGCATGAGTCACTGCTCTGCCTTTCAGACTGTTTTAAACACTTGGGGGATTATGTTTCAGAGGAGGGACGTGCACAGAGACAAAATGTCCATTGCCAGCCTCCCTGCCAAGGTGTAAGACTGGGGTAACGAATTCTCTAAAGAGGAATATTTCTCTTGGACAAGTGAAAGGCTGCTGAACCACTCAACTGAACACATCCCTCATGGCCTCCCAGTGGAAACATGGATCTCCCCATTTCTACACTATGTAGCCTGACACATGCCAAAGAAAATACAATCCCTTTCCTTGTTATCAAATCCTATATTTCCTACCTGTATTGGATCCTGCTTCTGCTGAAACCTGCTCCCAGTTTTCCTGGAACACCTCAATCCTAAACAGTCAGTCAAGAGCTCTGGGCTCTGTCAGAGATCACACCTCAAAGCACTTACTAGGATCAGCATCTCCCAACCTTTTCCCATAAGCAACTCTTGCAATGAACCAGCAGAACTTCTGCTGAAAGACTGCACAAATTATCCTGTAACAAATAGAACAGATGAGAAATTGTCTTTGGCTCCTGAGGACACAAGACCCCACAGATGGGCCTGATGGGGAGAGGGGGATTATTAACAGCTATGGTCCACACTCAGGACTAATTGCAAGAGGACCCTGTGTTACCCATCCCTCTTGTCTCCCTTGAAAGCTGGTGTATTCCAGCTCCTTTAAGCTTACAGATTTTATACTCAGATGAAAGGCTTGCTGATGAACTGAAATAATTTTTGGTGACCAAGTAAAGCAGAACATGCCCAAGAATAAAGAAAAACAAAGTAATTCCATCTCTGCCAGTCCTTCCCTTTCAATGTTAAAAACTTTATTGATTAGCAATTAGAAAATAGGTGTGATGTCAGCTTACTACACAGTTTCCTGAGCTCCCTTCTGAGGGCATTCCTCAGTTCTTTCTCAATTAATGTGAAAGCTGGGGACAGAAAGAAATTTATTTGTAAGTTAAGAAATGCCTCCATCAAGAGTTTTATTCTAATATCACAGTAAGTACACAATAATTGAGTCTTGGATTAAATTTTTTTTTTCTTCTTCTTTTCTCAGCACTAGAAAACCATCAGTTCCTTTGCTTTGTGTTACTCAGTAACATTTTTCAGTCTTTTGCCTTTTCTGATTTCAGGCAGATTCTTAAGAGATCTTATAATCAGGACTGTAATCCTCCAACCTCCCTTACATCTGTCATTTTCCTGAATGGTCTTAAAAATAAAATGAGAATGAGTAAATTAATGGTTATGGGGGATTTTTACATTAGGCAGAGCATTTCTTCAGCATTAGAAAATACGTGGCACAAATCATTAGTATTTCCCTCTATGAATAAAAGAAAAAAAAAAATCAAGGCAAGAAAAAGGGCTGTAGGTTTAATGTGACAATGCCTTCCAGATACTTTTATTTCCTGGCTTTGGTTTTGTGAATGAAACTTAGCAACATCTAGTATCCCACCAACATCTGAAATTCATCACATCTCATAAAACCTACAGATTGAACAGATTATCATCTTCAGTGTAGGAAGAACTTGGCCCAAAGTCCAGTGAGCTCAAAGAGAGGATTTGGGGTCAGTAGCACTCAAATTGACTTGAAATAAGTAAGGCTGCTGGTTTCAATATCACCAATGCTAAAAGGTATCAGGCTTCAAAAGTAATCAAGCAATTGAGATGTATTTGGTTTCCTCACCTTCATTTTGGGAATACTCAGTTTTTGAGTACTCAGGCTAGAATAAGGTAATTTATTTTTTAACTTTTCTCTGAAGTGAGGAGAGCTGGAAGTTTTCTTTCAAAAACAAAATACACATTCAAGCAAAGACCACCTGAAACCAGAACTGATCCAGTCATCAAGTGAGTCCAGGCTCCACAGAAATAATTTCAGGCTCTACACAAATCCCCAAATACCAGATTTGCAATAGCACCAGGAAAAGGAACTAGACTCCTAAACATCCTGGCCACTTGAATTTGAGGTTTTGGCAATTCTCACCTGCTGGAACTCGTCTTTAAACCAATGTAATAAATAAAGGACCAAATCCCATCTTTCACACTCAGCTGCAGTCAGGGTGTAACCATGGACTTCAGAGTGTAGAGGATGGGGCTGTCTGTGCACTGTGTATGGCTGCTGCCTCACTGGAAAAGATTTTTGCCTTCCTCACTATCTGAGCAAGAGTTTGTAAAACTGAACTCTTGGACCCTGCACTTGCATCATGCTTTCTGGCTTCAACACTCATTTGTGATTTTGTATCCTGCAGATCCAGGAGAAACCATGGGAGCTTGATACTTGCAGAAGCAGGCTGTGACTCTGAAAGGGGACTGAAGAAAACGAGATCATTATGAGTATGTGAGACACTCCTGACTGCTCTTACTCTCCAACAACCTGCTTCTGCCTTGGCCATCAGTGAAGCCCTTTTTAATTTCACTTTTCTCTTGACCAGACCAAACAGAAGAGTCAACACCGTGCCCTGACCTCCATTATTCGTCTCTTTTTCATTCTTCACCCATTTTGATTATCATCCCCATATTCCTCAGGTAAGCACTCTGGAGAACTCACATCAGGTATGAAGTTGTATTCCAGACAAATGGGAAAGGACAGACTGAAGAGGAAAACCACAACCTTCTTTAATTTGTTACCTAATTCATTTGTCAGTCTAATGTCTCTTACAACCTCTGGGTTAGCCAAGCCATAAAACAAAACAGATCCCTGGTTACATTTGTGCAGCAGATTTGTCTCTTTCTTCTGAGCTCATTAAAACAACTGCTTTCATCTCATTAGATTGCTAAAACATTTCCAACAGGACTAGATGTGTCATGTCAGAATATGACAGGCAAATTTCTTTTAACGTTTTAAAACTGGGTTGGAAGAGGAGAAGCTATGCAGTTCACTGTTGTCACTGAAAGATATTTTTACTTTTATGAGTCCCTAAAACAAGAAACAAATTAAAAACTGTCAAGGAAAAAGAAAAAACACAAACCCTAAATGTATTCCATCTTGCCTCCTAACATTGTTACTGCTTTTCTCCGAAATCTCTCTCAGTCTAATAACAAGAACCTTAAATATAAAAGAAGGAACTATGGTTGTTAATGTTTTGGCACAATTAAAAATCCAAGAGGAAGGAAATAAATGCTGAAAACATGATTACCATTTGCAACTACAAGCCACAATGAACAGCCTTACTCTCCTTTGTTCCAAGCTCTTCTTCTTGCCTGTTTCAGGGGCAATCTCTCTGTGTTGTGCCACTGCAAAATGTAGAACATGACACCAACAGCACCCAGAGATGCAAGAAAGCATCTGTGGAGGTGGGGAAAGAAGTTGCTGTGAGGGGAGAGCCCCCTCCTACAGTAGCCTCCACTGGGATGATCTCTGATACCCCGGCAGGAGATCCTGCCTTGCTACGGTGAGCAGTGCACTGCCCAGCTGCCATCCCAACATCCCAGAGCTGCCCCAGCAGGCAGATTGGTACTGCTTTCACTGCAGGTTCCACTGCCAAAACAGCCCAACCAGAGCCTCCTTCCTGTCAGGGTCCATGTGCCACAGGCACGGTGCCAAATCCACACCCATGGCAGAGTGTGCTGGGGCAGGTCTTGGAAGAATGACACAACTTCATCAGGAAGGCTGCAGCTCTTTCCTCTGCTTATTGAAACCCAGCTCAAATGCTGCCCAGGTGCAGCCTGCCACTGCCCTACTTTGGGCTTTAAATCACAGAAATCCTGGAAAATAGCAGGAGACAAGAATGAGGATGGCTCAGCCTGACCTGGTGCTCTAGTGAGATTCATGCCTCTGGGATGCCAGCTCACACCACGATCAAACAGTTCCCAGATGGAAGCAGAGCCAAGTGGGGCTGTGCACCCAGTGCCAGAGGGCAGAAGAGCTGTGCTGGGGAGTGGGACAGACCATGAAGACACAGTCTGCAGCCCTGTCCCTGGGAAGATGCTGCAGAGGCAAAACAACTCTGCGCTGTTAGCCCCTGTGGGGTGAAGTATTCCTGGGGGAAGGGGCTGCAAGTGTGAAATCACTATGGATTTGAGACACAGACACGCAGCAAAGAGCACTGAAGTGGGTGTTCACAACACATCATTTCATTTCAATGGCATTTGGCATCAAATTGCTGTAAAACCAGTGGGTGGGGATTGCTTCTCACTGAAGAAGTTCATTAGATTATAAGTAATTTGGTTACATAGAGAGCAAGTAGAACCTGAGGCTGTTTTGAGGGGCTTTTTGAAAAAGGTTAGAACAACATATCAGTCGGCTGTTGGGACTGATGGCTGTTGGGGAGAAGATATAGATATTTGAAGATAAACACTGTACACTAGTGTATTTTTCTCCTGATTGTATATTTCCATCCTTCTCATATTTAACATAAAAAACATTTTGTAAAAATGACTGGCACAGCAGAGAAACCTGTCAACTGAGTTACTGCCAACACTTCTGGTGAAGAGGCACATAGCTGCTCTCGAGGACATGCAGGGCTGGAAGCTCTGGCATCTTGTGAAAGCTAGCTGGACCCAGTTCTCTGCGCCCAGCTCAGCAGGGGACAGAAGCTGCTGCTTCTGCAAAAGCAAAATCCAAAACCAAAACCCACGCCACAAGATTTTTCCTGTTACCAGAGAAAGCCACATCTCCTCTGGAATGCCACACCTATTGCTATCCCCTCGTTTGGGAAGGTGAAATGTTGCCCTGGCTCACCAACGAGAACGGTGGCTGCTGAGTAGGTGGCAGGACCTTGTTTTTGAAGCCATGCCAGCTAACTCAGCCTCTCTGCGTAAGCACGATTAAACACTGAATTCCCTGGAAGCCTTGTGCTGATGGCAGCGGATGGTGTCCCCACCTGAGCATCCAACCCTGCTCACCACTGGATCGTTGCAGGGATTTAAGTGTCCTGCGAAGCAGTAAGAGATGGAGATATGCTCAGTGTCCTGCTCTGCTGGGGCTTTTGATGAACAAGCATATTCATCAGAGTTTTAAGAATCCACAAAAATATCCTAGAATAACATCAGTCTCGATTTCATGCTACAATCCAGGTATTCCAGAAAAGACTATTGTAAATTCCAAATTCTGCATATGCTCGACATTTACTTGACTAGATAAGATCTAAAAAATGTTAACATCCACTGTACTCCTACATCATTAATTTACTGAGATAGGGTGGTGTGAGCAGATTAATTTCTCTTGTCCAGTAACTCTCACCTTCTAGCTTGGATTTTAATGGAAAGCCCCAGCTTTGCTTGGTTACAGATGGTTTTTAGATTTGGCTGAATGAAAACAGAATCTGGACGCAGCCTGATTCTGAATGCTGTGGCACACTCTGGAGTCTCATTGGCTTGCATGGCACAACCATGCCTTTCAGAATTGTTCCTCTGACTAGCTTGGCTCTGACCCTTCATTTTGAGGCATGGGTAAAAGTATCTGGATTGCTGTGAAAAAACTGGTTGTGAAAAAATACGGCAAAATTAATCAGCCAAGGTGGAGTAGTCAAAGTGCAAGGCTGAAGGGTGTCAAAACAACCATGAGTGGTAAGAAAAGTGTCTTTCCTAGCCTGTGATGCCACTGTTTGAGATGTACATTCCAGACTCCAGTTCCATCTCTCTGTCATTCACCAGTACCTCTTTTTTTGCTCGGTAACCCCCCCACTCACCAGCTAAAAGGTATCTTCAAATATTTCACTCAAAAAATCCTGAATTACATTTACAAATCCTTATCTACATCCTGGCTACACTCTCAAATTACTGTAATTTCTACTTCTGCTCCTGCTATCTAACATTTCAAGGATTAACTGGGCAGTGTGTAACCTCTTCTATTCCTATGTAACAATGTCTGCTCTCTGTTCCTTTGTCTTAACATTCCCCAATCTGTCTATAGATTCCTGTGCTTGTTTTCAAGGCAATATCCAAGTGTAAAGCTGCTTCAGCCATTCATGAGGATGAGATTTATTATCTAGAAGCACACCAATAATACAGTATTAAAAAAAAAATAGCACTCTTTCATCAAAATCTAATGAACATGCGATTTAATCTTTATTAAGAATTCATTAGGTTCTCAGCAAGGCTGTCTAATGGAGCTTGACCAGGTGAAATGCTAATGCCTACATTATATTTGAATTAATTTTCAGCAATGTTGGTTTCCCCTCGTTGTTCCCCGCACATCGCTCTCCCTGGCGCCCGCGGCTGCGCGGTTCTCTCCAGATGCTGCTGCCGTGCTCATAGCAACACCGCTGTCCCCACCCCAGCCTCCACACACTTCACTGGAGTTTCCACACTCACAGATGCCTCCCCATTTCCCACACTAGAAGCCCATCCACCATAGCAGCTTCCTTGACGTTTTCATATTAGGTACAAAGCTGCAAGCCTAGCATGCCTTACTTTGAGTAGTTGTAATGAAATGCATGTATATATATACATATATATACATATATATATATACATCCACAAAACGGGTATAATTCAGTCCTCAATATACCAATCTAGTCCAACAAACAGGTTATTATCTTGATATGATTTGCTTCAAAAAACAAGAGCTCTGCTCTTTGGAAAACAAGATTGTAGGCTTTTTGTGTAGCCAGTGTGGTCACTGCCTGCCCTCCTGCCTATGGGCTCTACATGTGCATTGTGCTGTTGTAGTTCCCACAGCCTCTCCCTTTAACCAAAACCCATCACCCGCCATTCCAGCATGCTTCTGCAGAAGCAATTCCTAGAGATTAAATTATTTATTGGTGTTCATCTGCAGCGACATGTCTCCTCATCCACGTTCTGCACACAAACAAGAGCAAATCAAACCTACCCCACCCCAGATCCAAATCGAACTATGGGGGAAAAGCCCTCTTTCAAACAGTAAAAGGAGACAATGAGAGCCTCTACAGAAGTAGGGTACACAAACGTCAGTGGGGAAAGCCACGGATACCACTGTGCACTGGAGGCAAATCTCCTCACAGTGAGACCTCCCAGCCCCGCAGCGCCTTGGGAAAAGCATTGCCTCAGGCGGGGATGATGGTTTCATTGAACCCCCGAGGGGTGGGCACAGCGGCCACGGAGTTGATACAGAAATATCCAGGTCACCCGCTAAGCCACCCTGCCTGGAGAGGAGCTGGGCTGAAGGCCCAGATCTGCCCCAGTGGTGCACGCACATGCACGCGCACATGCACACCCACATTCACACACACACGCGCACACTCTCACTCTCTCACACACAGGCACACACTCACACACACGCATTCACACACACGCTCACACACACACGCACAGGCGGGGCGGCTACGGGAGCTCAGGGCTGTAGCTTGCGAGGGGCACGGGCCCCTTTGCTGGTTCGGGGGCCCCTTTGGCTTCTCCGCGGCCCCTCCGGAGGCAGCGGAGCGCGGTGCCGAGGGGCCCCGCGGGCGCTGTCCAGCTCCAGCCGCTGAACGCCGCGCCGGGACCCGCCCGTCGGCCCGCGCGGCCCCGGAGCCCCGCGCCGGGACCCGCACCCCGCTCCCCGCGCCCCATCCACACCCATCTCTCAGCCTCTTCCCCTCGCTAAGCAATCCCGGTCCCGGGAGGGGGGGCCCTCCCAGCCACAGATCTCTCCGCAACCACCAGCATCGCAAAGCGGCAACCGCTCCCAGCTGAAATCCAGACCCTGAACCAGCGCCCAGGCTCGTTCCGTGATGGCGCCCGCCTCCAACCAGCCCGTCATGTTTGTAGCGGTGGGAGGACGGGATATTTAATTGTATTTTAATTTTTGAAAAAAAAAAATGGATGGGGGGAGAATAGTCGCACCACGAGTGTACCTCCACCTCCATCAGCCTTCTCTGCACCTGCTTTCCTACCGGGTGCATTTACACGAGCCACGGGGATGCTTGTAAGGGACCGTGCGGTGGGGCTTTTCACTGTTGTTTATTACACGGTTATATCTAATTAAACACAGAAAAAGGGTGTGGGAAGCCCCAGCGAGGAGCAGCGCCGAGTACCACAGGGAGACTCGGATCCCAGAGCAGAAGAGATTTGAATGAGTGGCCAAGCTCGTCGTTCATTAATTAAAAGAAGAAGGTACAAGCTCGATAAAAGGGGCTTTCAGCGACAGAGAGCCTTGGTTTCAATCCGCAGAGCCGGCAGATAACACCCCGACATTAAGCAGAAGTGACAGCGGTTGGCTGCACGGGGACATCTGCGCCGAGGGGGAAGGTGGGCTGCCGGCCTCCCCGCACCGCCGCCGGGGGCGAGGCCGCGGGGCGCCGCTTCAGCACCAGCGGGCCCTGGACAGCGCCGGGCGCGGCGGCGGCCCCGCCGCGCTGCCTGCGCGGTCCCCTCAGGTAAACATGGCGCCCGCGGCCCTCGCTCACCTCCGCGAGCCCCCGCCCCGCTCTCCCGCCCCGCACCGCCGCTCGCTCGCTCCCCCCGCGGGACTTACTTCATTTGCTTCACGATGGTGCTTTTCCCCGACTCTCCGGCTCCTGTTGGAAGAGAGATGAGGTGGGATAAGCGCGGGGAAAGAGGAGGAGGGGGGCGATGGGGGGACCGGCGGGTTCTCACCGAGCAGGAGTAGTTTCACGTCTTTGGCCGCGCTGATCCCGTCCTCCTTCAGGTTCTTCTCGATGGCCTTGCTCCGCTCCAGGGCGGCTCTTTCCTCAGCACTCAGGGTACATCCCATGGCGGCGATGAAAATTAAAAAAAAAAAAAAATTAAAAAAAAAAAAAGGGGGGGAGGGGGGATGCAGCCCCCGCCGCCTCGGCTGGCTCCCGCGGACAGAGAGGAGGCGGCGGCCGGGGGGCAATAAAAGAATTAAAGCAAATGGCCGTGAGGCTCCGGGTAGCGCAGCGCCTCCGCGGCGGGGCTCCCGGCTCCCTCTTGCCCCTCTCTCCCCGCGCCCGAGCGCTCAGTGCATCCAGCGGGGCTGCAGCGGGCACGGCGAGCTCTTCCCGGCCGGGAGGCGGAGGCGGAGGCGGGGGAGGAGGTGGAGGAGAAGGAGGAGGAAGCGGGTTGGCGGCGGGGGAGGGCGCGTCCCTCTCCCGTGCTCCCGACTGTCGCTGTCCCCTCCTCGGCGGGCGGCGGCGGAGCCGAATGGAGGCGCGGGAGCGGCGGCGGGCGGGCGGCAGGAGGGAGCGCGGGGGCGCGCCGGGCTGCGCGCTCCCGCCGGCCTCGCCCGTGACGCGCGCGGCTCGCGCATGCTCGGGCCCGCCCCGCCCGGGCCCGCGGGCAGCGGCCGCCCGCTCTGCACGGGCGGGGGCGCGGCCCCGGTGCCCGGCCCCTCGCCCCGGGCTCCCGCGCCTTTCCCCGGGAGGGACGCTCCGCGGCTTGGGCTGCTGCCCCCCGGCCCGGTGACTCCGAGCTGGGGTCTGCCTAGGTGGAGGGTCTAAAGGGGAAGCCATACGAGGAGCGGCCGAGGGCACTTGGCTTGTTCCCCCGGAGAGGAGATTGAGGGCAGAGCTCTTCGTGGGCTGCAGCTTCCTCGGGAGGGGCCGTGCAGGGACAGCACCGATCTCTTCTTGCTGTGACAGGAGCCGAGGGAGCGGCTGGAGTCATGCCGGGGGGGGAATTAGGTTGGATATTAGGGAAAGGTTCTTACCCAGAGCGAGCTTGAGCACTGGAACTCCCCAGGGCAGTGATCACAGCACTAAGCCTGACGGATTTCAAGAAGCCTCAAGGCTCTCAGGTGGAACTCTTGGGAATGTCCTGCTCTAGGACATCATCAGCCCCTGTTCAGGTAGGGCTAGGAGTTGGACTCGGTGATCCTTGCAGGTCTCTTGTGTCTCAGGCCATCCCACAGTTCTGTGGTCTGGCCCGGCAGCGCAGAGCTGAGTGCTTGGGGATGTGACAGCGGTGTGTGTACGGGGGCACTGGGCTCCCCTGGGCACTGCCCCGGCCACTGTGGGAACCCTGGCTCCCCACGTGCCCTGAGCATCCCCCACAGCTCCTGCACCCACACCCTGTGCCTGCCCCCACCCCACAGTGCTGTGTTTGTGACCTGACCTGCAAGGAGCCCTTTGGGAGCTCCTCACGGCTCAGGCAATGTGAACACTTGCAATGTGAATCGTTTACATGCTCCATGCAAAGCATCAGGTTTCACCACCATGTTGGATTATGTTTTCCATCAGTGTAATTAACGGAAGGTTTGGGTTTTTTGTGTTGCAGTGTGGTCACAGACCTCAGCAGATGACCTGCCTTCTTTTCATAACTATTCCATGACATCTAACAGTGATTTAAGAATTCTAGTGAATTAAAGTCCCACCATTTTCCTGGCAGGTTTTGCCATTTCACAAGGATGGAAAAGAGAGAAGAAAACAACTGTCGACAAGGAAAATAAAATAAATAGAACTTTGTTTAAAATGCTTTCCTACAGGCCCAGACAAGTTAAAATATACTCAACTTTAATCCATAACATTGATTGATATGTGACAATCTAGCTATAAAAAGATATAGAGAGGAAAGAAGTGTTGAGCACAGCAAGGTAAAATGCATCAAACTAAAATTAAGATAATCAAGGTTTGCTACCTGATCCATGGAAAGGACACCCACCATTTCAGTACACAAGAAATCTGCAAAGGGAGGTGTGGTTGTTCAGAAGTAGATGTGAATGCTGAGGCTGCTGATTTTGCCCCCAAAAGCCACTCCACCTCTCTGCCAAAAAGCACCCAGCTACAGGAGGCTTGACATCAGGAACATCGCTGTGCTGTGGGAAGGAAATGCAGGGCTGCCCCACAGGCCTGGGGAAGGCAGGGGGCTGCTGTTTGTGCTGTTGGGTGTGGGTGACCATGTCCTTACACTGTGTGCGTTTTCCACTTGGGACCTGATCGCTGCCTCCTCTGTGAGCATCTCACCTGCTGTCCTGAGTTCACCAGATCCCATATCCAGGACTATTTCCTTAGGGGTAGAAATGTAATTTCTAATAGCACTTAGAGTATTCTAAGCATGAAGTCACAGGCACTTTCCTTCCAGGCAACCATCATCTCCTCCCAGTGCTGTTTCCCATTTCTTCTTCCTCACAGAACATGCTCTTCCCATTTTCCCTCCTGACCTCTGAAACAAAAGGGAAAAACAGGATGTGGGTAACGAGGTAAAGAGGGGGTATGAAAGAAAAGCAGATAAAAGAAAGCAAAAGGTAATTCAGTGTATTCTACTATACATTTGTGAGCTAATAGGTACAATATATTTGAATTTTGGGTAATTTATTTCTGGAAGCTCAGGGAACTGAGATGGACAAGCAAACCTACAGCATGTCTTCAGCAGGGAATAAATGGAGATGGGTGCGGTTACAGAGCAGTTCCTGCTCTTTCATATTCGCACAAATCTCATGTGTAAAATCAATGGGATCAGAATTTCAATCAATAAGTTTCATTTCAATGGTTCTAGCTAGAGGGAATTACAAAAAGTCCCGTATAGAAAAAACACAACGAAGAAATCCAGAGGCAGCGTCCTCATGAGATAGCTGCATTTTCTTCCCATTTCCTCCAGCAGCTTGCCAGCCTTGGTCTCATATTGGGAAACTCTCCAAGGGTTTCACTAAGAGAATTAGTCTTTTATATCAGCCTCCGGCTACTCGTTATCTGACAAATTTGTAGCCTGGGTCTCCTGCCATGGAGAAAATTATTTCTCTTCTTCTTGACCAGTGTGGAGTCTGCAGTCATCCCTTTGTCCCATGATCATCCCCATTGCTACACAATAATCTGCTAATTTCTTTCTTAAGGGAAAATCAGAAATTGGCAAGTCTTCTCCTTGCTCTCTCAGCTCTCAGAAAAATTCAGGGGAGCAGCTGTGAAATTGAGCCATTTCTAAGCCACTTTTTTTCCTGCTGCTAACTGAGCAGAGCTGGTGGAAATGTTTCTTTCAAAATTTTCTTAGAGGGAAATTTAATTTTTTAAAAAAATCTGCTTATTCATGGCAGATGAATTTCAAGAACATGAAAGAAAAAAGGTTGCCTCCTCCACCAAACAAAATGCATTCCAGCCTACTTGGCTTTTGAGATAAATATATTGGGTTTTGTTGCTGAAAAAGATGTTTCCATTTTTCAGGAGCTGACAGGACTCCTCTTTTAATAAAAAGTGGTTGCTGGTAGTAACAACTTCAAATGAAAATAGGCTTCTTTTTTTCCCCCTTTGAAAATGAGAGAACCTCTCCATTAAAGGTGGAGAGGAGGCACTTTCTTTCTGGCTATCCCTGCAATTAAAGTATTTCATCAAGATACATAAAGAACTCGCTTGTTTCTGCTCAGACTGCTCTCTCCCAAACTTAAGAGTCAGCAGTGTATTTTAAGCAAAAGTCTTTATTCTCTTGTATCTGATCTGTGCCTCACCAAACCCAGCTTCTTTCTGCAACCAGTTTTCAAACATTGTGCTAGGAAAGTTAATCAGATAGTCATTTCTTTAAGAAGTGAAGGATGGTAACAGAACTGATGGATGCCATTGAAAAAGACTGTGCCAAAGTGGTAATGTGGGGTAGATGACAACTTTATGATCTCATGTGTGTTGTTTTATCC